TCAGAGCGTGCAAGCGTGTGCGTACACACACACACTGACAACTGGGCTGTCAACACAGGAATACCAAGCTTACCTACCTCCCAGTGTGTTAATAATACCACCAATAGTGATGACAACAAGAGCAGATATTTGAGTAATTAGTAAGTTTCAGAGAGAGAGAGTGGTATGCAAAAGCTATCCAATTTAATTCTCATGATTACCTAATGTAAGGACATCTTTGTCCCTATTTAGAAATGAGGAAATAGCAAAAGCCAGAGCTGAAACTCACATCTCTTGACTCTCTGCACACTATCCACTGGTTACATTGTCACAGGACAGCTTTCCAGTAATATGCTTTGTGGTCTTCACAAAACATTCCTAACCAAACCACCATTCTCTTATCCCCCCAGCAAACTGGATTTGTGATGGAAGACCTTTATTTAGATAATCTATCTAGCAACTATTTGATAACATTATCCCCCCTGCTTAATTATACATTCCAAAGCTATCTACTGTCCTCTATGGAGTGAAATTAGAAAAGAAGGCTGAATAGGAGAGCTAGAAAATAAAATTAGGCAGTTCTTACAAATCATATTTTCTGAGGAAAGGGTCTATTCAACAAACATGCTCTAGTATGAGGCACTCTGTAGACTATGCATAGATGCTTAGCCTAGTCCCTGGAGGTTTATTATTTTCTGGTTTATTATTTTACATATATATATATTTTTGTAAAATTAATGATGATAATGGTAGAATCATTTATTGCATGATTTACTGAGCGTTAACTATAATATAGATGCTGAGCTAAGTATTCCTATCATTTTAAAATCCCATACCAATTCCAATTTTAAAGTTGTAAAAACAAGGGGTGAGAAACTTATTCAATATCACATCACTGGAAGTTACTGGAACCTGTCTTCAATCCAGAGTATGTTTTACAGTTCTTGTCTCCTATGCCTCTGCTTCCTGCTCTGTGGGAGACTATGATAGGTGTCATAAACAAACAATAGAAGATTGAAATTCCAAGCACATCGAACAAAGTTGGAAGATAAGAATCAGTCTGTATTAGTTATCTTAATGTTACTTGTAAGTCTCCCATGGCTTGCAGGAATGAAATATGGACTAAGAATTTATACTTGGGTTGTTTTTTTTTTTTTTGGCACTGGGGATCGAACTCAGGACCTTGCGCTTGCAAGGCAGGTGCTGGAACCACTGAGCTAAATCCCCAGCTGTACACTTGGGTTTTTTAAAAGTGTATGTGCATAGATCATGTAGATGTGATTCTACTGCAGTGGGCTCTGGTGGTCCTTGCACCCCTAAGACAGTCTCAGTGTAGTCTCCACTCACCTGGACAGCTACAGAGGTATGGAGAGCAGAGATATTCCATGGGAGGCACAAAAGTGGAAAGGAGAGATTAGGAAAGAGGTGATCTTGACCTATCCTACCAGCTTCTTGTCATTTCCCAAGGGCACTTTGACTCCTAAGAAACTATTTTTAAGGCTCAAATTTCCCTAACACCTACCATTCCTTAAATAGGAGTTGCACAACAGCTGTGTCCAACCCCTAGAGCAATGATGGCGAACCTTCGAGAGACCAGGTCCCCAAAGTAACCCAAAACCCACTGATTTATCACAAAGTGACAACACTGCATTAAATGTGAATACTGACATTTATTTTGCAGAAAAACAAGTACATTAACTTCTTTTGTCTTAAAAGAAAAGCACAATATCAGAGCTTTCAATGATACAAACAGCTTTTTATTGAGAGGTAAAAATTTGCATTTGGAATACATTTGCACAATTAATGTGATCTTTGCTGTTGTACGCATGCTGGTAATCAGTTAAACCTTGGTTGGGTGACTTGGCTGACAGAGAGGGCTCTGCATGCTCACTGCAGTGTGTGCCATACCTTCGCCACCATTGCCCTAGAGAGTTTTAGTTTTCTAAAAATCATTAAATACACTTGATGAGGACTTGCCATTTTTAAACCCACTGTCTCTCTATTAACATATCAAGCTCACTTTCAGTATTGAACCTAGACTATGGAATTTATAAACACTGCTTAAAAGCCTCTCCAAGTAAAACATAAATATGAATACAATGATTTTCCCAACAGAGTGGTCCAGATATATGTGATGATTCCCATTCAGCAACAATTAAGCAGCAGAGTTTTGTCAAAGAGCCACACATATAGAGTCTCTACATATGTACAGTTCAAGGTTATTTTACCTCTTGGATTTCAGCCAAGAATGCAGCCCTAATTGACCTTCTGTAGTGTCAAATGACAATTAGAAGGGAAAAGATGCATACACTTTAGGAGAGAAGATCAAGAGGCCAATAGGAAAATACACAAAAAAGTTACAACTACCACCATTTCTATAAAGCACAATTGAATGTACTGGTGGGGAGTAAATGAGTTAAGGGAGTGATGTTAAATAGTTTACATCCAAGCTACAGAGGCTAATAGTCTACACAACACTGTCTAGAAAAGGAGTGATGAGTCTGTACCATGACCCCAAATGGCTCAAATGAGAGCATTCCTTCTTCCCTGAGCCTATATATATGTATATATTGCCTTTCACAAAAGTTGTGATGCCTTCAAGACATTGTTAGAGTTGGGATGTTTCTAACTGACTTATTAAACACTCAATTTAGAACGTAAGCATCACAGATGGCATACACGTTTTTACCAATGGAGCTTAATATTTTAAGGTAAAAAGAACTTTCACTGACCCATCCATCACCATTGTAACATTTCAAGTCTGCTCTGTCCATGACCAGAGAACAGATGCATCATTGAACACATTAAAAGAGAAAGAAATGTAGAAATCAAATATTATACTTCAATTTTAATGCCAAACAGCATTGCCTGAGTGCATAATAATGTAAATCATGCTTGGTGGATTATTTTCAAATTATAACTGGAGCCAGTGTTACCACATGCTATTTTTTCCATTTATAATGCTCTGATGTAGAATTCACTTATTGTTTAATAGTTCATTTTAGTGAAAAAGAATCCTATTAGTTTATGAATGAAGCAAGAGTTTTTCTACTGTAAATGTAATTTTTAAGAAAAGACTCCCAAACAAATCATTGCCACTGTGTTCAATTTTGACATCCGTACTAAATCCTAAATGAATGAGTGAAGACACAGTGGACCCTTGAGTTACAACTAGCCTCACACAAGAACAGCTTGGGTTATGACTGGAATTTTAGTTTTAACTTATGACCAAAGTCTTGAATTATGACCTGAATGCCTATCTTTCTTGTGTGGGGTTAACTGAAAAATCCTGGGCCAATGTCTCTCTAAGAACATTGATATCTGCCTGGAAGAAAGTACAGTCTAAAATTATACAAGAGAGAGACTTTGAAGGCTGTGTAGAGGAGCCTGAGCCTTCAATTGACCCTGTGGTTGATGACACTATCACTATGGCAGAGTCCATAGGCTTGGAGGTAGACAGTGGTGACACTGAGGAACTGATGAAGGAATACTCAGAGGAACTGTTTACAGAGGAACTTCAGCAACTTCTGGGTGAGCAACAGAAAATGACAGCTGAGGAGCTTTCTGAAGAGGAGAGGAAGTATCAACAATCAGTGCAACAAAATTCTTCTGAAATAAAGGAAAGCTTGAAAAAATGGACAGAGCTACAAACATTTGTAGAGAAGACCGACCCAAACAGAGAAAAAGCCAATCGTTGCCTTCACTTGCTTAATAACAATGTCATGTCACAATACAGAACAGTGGTATAAAGAAAGACAGAAAAAGACAACCTTAGACCAGTTTTTAGTTCTGAAAAGGTTGAGACCTAGTGAGCCAGAAGCAGGTCCTAGTGGGCTACAGAATTTCCCAAGAAGAGAAAGGACACCAGAGAGTCAGATTCCTGATGTTCTTATGCAAGAGGACTTTCCTTGCAAGCAATAACCACCTTCCATTTCATTCTCCCTTCCTGCAAACCAAAGATGTGAACTTGAATGGTGAGTACAATATGAAATTGTTGTTTATGATAAAGTAGGCACATGTTATAACTTTTTGGTGAATACTCTAGATAAATAATTACACAAATAATACAACCCTTTTTCATTATGAAAAGGTTAGTTAAGGGGTGTTTTGGGAGGTTCAGAATGTATTATGGCTATTTCCATTATTTCTTATGGGAAAAATAGTCTAGACTTACAACCAAATTGAATTACAAATAGCCCTCTGGAATGAATTGAGTTTGTAAATTAACAATCCACTATACCCGATTGCATATGACTCAACTCAAATTAACTGCACTGTAGATTTTGGCTCAATATGAGATTGAACATTTTCTAACAGAACCATTTAGAGCTGGAAATGATTGCTGAGCTGGTTAAGTAGAAGTAAGACTACAAATAACCATGAGTGCAGCAAACAGGATTCATACTCTTGAGCCTGAGTGAATTCAATGATCTGGAAGGTGCTTGCCAATCCTGAGGCTCTGTGATTATAACAGACCTGTCCAAATCGGGATCATCATTTAAATGAAAATCATCAGGACTTTTTTTTTTTCTGTGATGAGATTCATGGACAACTTTTCAAACCAAAAAAAGAAAAATTTTTAAGCTTTTCTTAAAATCTATTCAACACTCACATACCTTCTGTTTTGCTATATATTTACCTTGCTTTAATTGAATCTAAGGTGATTTCATATTTGTCTTACTATAAACTACTTCTCCATTTCTATTTACTATTCTTTCTTTCAAAATGCATGGCCCATGTTGTCTGCCTTGCAAGAGCAAGGTCCCAAGTTCGATCCCCAGTACCAAAAAAAACCCCCCAAAAAACAAAATTCATGGCTCAAAGATTGATTTAATAGATCCAAGTGGCATTCCTTATGATTAAATGCTTTAACATTTTGGCCATGGTGTAAGAACAATATTTGTCATAGAAATTACTAAAGTACATTTACCCTCACACTACTATATTTTATTATAAAAATGATCCCTTTGTTTCATAAATCCAGTGTCAGGTTTTAATCATAAGGTGGTTTAGCTACTTACCAGCAAAGAATAATGTATCTTGAAACCAGGTTTAGCCACAAAGTAGTCATCAGACTTGAATGTTATTTTAATTTGGTTTGTTCTTGAAGTTATCCTTGGAGGAACTTCCTTGTGTCCACACCATCTTCCTCTAATAATGGTACTTATTTCAGATATATCTTCAACTTCCACAAAATCATACCTAGAATCAGTTTGACATAAATTGCTTTAATTAAAATGTATTTTGAAATTTATAATTTCACTAAAATATTAAAACTAACATGATTTCTCATCACCTATAGGTGGAAATGAAAGCTAATTTGGGGATTAGGCTTTCCCAACTCAAACTTAAATAATCAATTATGAGAATATATATATATATATATATATATATATATATATTCAATTATGTCTATTCCCAGATCAATCATCAATAATCAAAGTAGCCTACTTTCTATTGCTTCTCGGCGTTTTGGCTAAGATCAAGTGTAAAATGGGCTACTTTCTAAGAAACTAGCTTAGAAAATCTTAAAAAAACTAATGACTGGAATCTCTTGGAATATTTTAGAGATAGCTAAAGTTATATGCCCAAATATTAACTTTACAAAGTTTTAAAAACAAATTTCTACTTTGAATTAATTCATCACATTTGTGCTTTCTGGAAGGACAGAATGAATATCTACATAGCTTATAGAATCAGCATTCTCATTATAGAAAATAAATGGACATGGGCATGATTTGTATTACTATCTTTTTTGGAAACCTGTTTTTGGAGGATCTCATCATAAAATAAGACATCAGCTATAAAAGAATGTATATAATCTCAGGGAGTGATTTTTGCTAACCAATACAGGAAAAAATCTCAGCTAGTTAAAACCGGGCACTCCAGACAACAGGCTCACTTTAAGCACTTTAAGCACTTTAAGCACAAACAGAATCCCAGGATTGAGGAAAATATGAAGGCCTATTTAATTATTCTGTGTGACCTTTTAATCTTCAGCTTCCTCCATCCCATCCCATCATCCTCTCATATAGTAAGTCATCTCCAGTGCCACAGTTTACATGTTCTTGTGATTATTTATTCCATGTTTTAACCCCTACAACCTTAGAATATCTTACTTAATTGGCTTACTTTGTCCTTCAACTCTAGTTACCAGATTCTCACTCCTTATCTCTACCTTTCCCCAAGTGACTTTAGATGTTAAAGTTACCATCAAAGGATGGGCAGTCAGGGTGGCAGAAGTCTTAGGTCCATCTTATATTTATCTTGTTACAAGTACCAGAAAGAACCAGCCTAAAAAACAGTAGGTCTGAATATAAAGTAAAAGCAATATGAATTTACCAGTTTTTTCCAAGTACTTCGGAGCCTTTATTGGTTTGGAAAAAGTTAATCTAAGTAGTGGGTGAAAAATAATGTTATTGTGACTAAATGTCTTTGACAGTAATTTATGAGCCATTCCGTCCTTTGCCTCAGTTTCCTTATGAGGAAAACAAGAAGGCTTATATAATTTTACCAGCTGGATATCTCTTGGGTGCTGTGTAAATTAATTACTTAACGTTTATATGGTGTTTAGAAGGTGAAAAATATTAACAAAGAATCATTATTTGAGTAATAAAATACTACAGTGTAAACATCAAGAAGACTTTGGAACAGATGGTAGGAAATCGATTGCATTTCATTTTCTACATAATATGTATAAATCATATTTACTACACAAAGCATAAACATAATTGAAACGTTGTTAATAACACAATAGGTCAGTTTTCTTTTGAAAAAATACATCAGTTAATTATAACTCTGAGTCTGAAGTCAAGGATGCACCCCTGATTTTGTTAGGGAGGATTCCGAAGCAAGTCTCTGATCTGATTCTTTCCCTTCTTCTTTTTCATTCTTTCTTCTACCTTATTCCATAAATTCTGAGGATTTGATGAAGGATTCAGAAAGGACACCATTCTAACATGCAGTCATACATTTTCAAGGCCAAGATGTTAAAAGGGCTCACTCTCAGGATCAAAACTTTGGCTCATTAATGGTTTCTCTTCTGTGATATAGTAGCATATATTATATTGTATGTATATATTATAAATGTGATCTCTATTCTTAGGTTCCTACTTTAAGTCTCTTGAAACTCCTGAGTGATAGGGTGAGAGGAGCATCTTTGTTTTTCATAATAAGCCCCCTTTAAGGAAACCTGAGTTATTCTAGTGGGGTGGAATCTTGGTAGGTCCCTACAGAGCTTCAGAATGAGGCAATCACCAGGAAAGCTTAGAGGGTTGGAACTTTTAGCCAAGAGAACTGTGCCCAGAAGAGAGGCCTAGAGATTGCACCTAATTACCAATGGTCAATGATTTAGTCAACAATGCCTTCATAATGACTTCCACAAACATCCCTACATGTGGGGTTCAGAGAGCTTCTGTGTTAGTGAAGACATCAAATCCCTTGGAAGATGATATACATAGAGAAGGAGTCCTTCTCATATAACTTACTTCATTTACATCTTCCACTGGGCTGTTTCTGAGTTATATCTTCTATAATAAACTGGTAAGAATAAGTAAATCACTTTCTTGATTTTGTCTGAAGCCAAGGAGGGGGTGCTGAACTCCCTGATATATAACTGCTTGGTCAGAAATATGAAGGGGTTGTAACCAGCCACTGACATTAAAGGTGGGGCATTTTGTGGGGTTGAACCCCTAAATTGCGGGATCACATGGTAAGTTGAAGTAGATAGTGTTAAAATTGAACTGATTTATAGGACGCCAACTGCTACTGGAGAGTTAGCTGGTGTGGGAAAAAGTAAAGGCCCACACATTTGATGTCAAAAGTGTTTTGTGAGTAGAAACAGATCGTGGCTCTTTCTATATCATCATCTTTAACAATCTTTTAATAGTTTTTTTTTCCAATTTTTTTTTTTGCCAGCACAGAAAATTAATTCTCCCTTTCAAGGTTGAAAAGACACAAGATCAACTTTAGTTTATTCTCTCTGTAAATATTAACTGGTTCTCCATGCATGTATTTGTTCTGCTTTCTAGAATACATTACCCTCTATGGTCTTAGAAAGTAATAGTCACTGTTGTTATTCTCAGAAAAAAAGCAACATAATAAAAGCTGTCAGTATAATAAACATGCAACAAAGGAGGAAGGAATTTGAGGCACCTCTTTTTATTATTCAGAGGGAAATAAACCTGCTGAAAGGATTTAGCAGTTCAGTAGTTCATTGGCAGTGCAGAACAAGTGCATGCAGTAAAGTATAGAAAGGGGGGAAAAATTCTCCCCAGGTCTTATACATGATAATTAAGCAAGTAAGATGCTGAGAGCAGATAATTCACAGAACAATAGCCTGGACTTTCTCTAATAAATATGCTAAGAAGGGAGATTATGGGCCACAGCTTTCATCTTTTACCCCTGGTCCATAACTATGGGAAATAGGCATCTGAGAAGCATACAAATCAGGGGCTTGCCTCCTTTTTCTTCCCACACTTATCTGAGCCCTTAAAACTATGAATTTAGAGTAAAACTTCCATGTGGTCCTCACCCACCATATTCTCTTAGTGCCAGAAAAGTCCTGGTTGCAATGGCCTGGGTGAGCCCCTAGAGCTGATCTGGGTTTTATGCCCTCTAAGCTCATGTCAGGCTTTGACAAGGGCCACAAATTGCAGCTCCAGGTGACCCGGATATTGAATGCATCTACCTACTCACAAAGGTTGTTCTGTGCCTAAAAAAGTCATGGGACTCTAGATTCCATTGCTCTTTGGAGACAGGGAGTCATGCCAGTTGTCAAAGTACATCTCTGTGAGCCATGCCATATTACCAGGCCCTCCACAGAAGCAGGCCATGTTACTTTGTTTGCTAGGGCTGACACAGGCTTTTTGAAAAAGGGACACTTCTTGTGTAGGCCCAAAGGCCTCAAAAGGAATGATTAATGTGATGTTGCCAATACATCTTTTGTTTTGTTTTGTTTTTTTCACTTTGCAACAATACCCTCCAAGGGAGTTTTTTCCTCACTTACCTACAGATATCATTCTCTGCTTCTTCTAATCCAAACTGATGGTCAAATGCGAGCTGTATCCTTGTTTTTTCCTGGGAATGGAGCCGCCATGTCAGAAGCAGATTCCTAGGGTAGTTGTTTGGGAAGCGGGGACTCTGCAGGTGTCCGTTTCCTGTCACCTGGATGGTTTCATCTTTCCGGTACAAGTCTGTGAGGTGATTGCTCTCTGTTAGTAGTCACAACTTGTAGAAATTAGTATGTTGCTCCACTTATAGGACACCAAAAAAAGAACAATTTATAATACATCACATTTTAAAGCAGTTCTTAATTTTCTTCATAAACATAAGATCAGTTTCTGTCTCGCAAGCACAAGATTCCAAGTTCAATCCCCAGTACCAAAAAAGAATAAATAAATAAACATAAGATCAAATAGCAGTCTTCAGTTTAACCAAACAATATACATTTCTACTACCCCCATCTCCCTAAATTCTTCATAAATGTTGATGCCTATTACTTCATACTTTGGGGGCTATCGTACATTACTTTATTTTTTCGTACATTACTTTTGACATGCAATAATAACAATTATCTTAGGCACCTCAGATTCATTTAGATTGGAATAAAAAATCAGCAGATAGTTTCTATAGTTCATCTTTACCTTTTTCTGTGTAATACAAATATTTTTTTACACTGACAGTATAACAATATATTGCCATTGACTAGCATAGGACCTACATACATATATAATATTGCTAAATAAATGAATGAGTGAAAAACAAATTTAAGGACTCTAAAGAGTGTTTAACAGTCATTTATTTTATACTCAAATAACATCTTTCCAGTGAGTTTCTCTGCCTTGATAATCACATATTTTTCCTGTGTTTTTCTGTGATTTAAGTCCATTTCCTGTTGTATTTTCTGTTTGATGTATAGTAAGGAATTTATCTGGTTTTGTACAGGGTTCCTGTGAAGAAGATCAAAACCCTTAGAATTTCCCAAATGGTGGAAGTTTCTTTGTTTTTCTTGGTTGACCCCTAAGTCCACATCTGCATTCATGTTAATAAGGCAGCTTACAGAGGTTTCCTGCATAGTGTCAGAATGAGAGCTGACCACAAAGGCCAACATGTGGTTAAGAAATTAGGGCTTTCGTTCTTGGGAAGTCACCCTGACCCGCCAAACTCCAGAAAGGCAGGCAGGGGTAGAGACATCAATTGTACTGTCAATAATATAATTAATCATGTCTATGTAATAAAACCCAAATTTAAAAAAACAAACCCCAAACCAAACCAAAACAAAAAACATCTCTGGACACCAAGACCTGAAAAAGCTTTGGGTTTGTGACATGTACAGTACTGACACTCCAGGAGCAGGAGGGTGATGCATCCTGGGGACACAGATGCATGGAACCCTTTTGGATCTCACTCTGTGTATTTCTTTATTTTGCCGATCCTAATTTGTTTGCTTTTAATAAAACTTTAATGATAATAGTCATGCTTTCCTCAGGCCTGTGAGTAATTCTGGCAAATTATCAACCCTAAAAGGCTGTTGGGAATCTTGATTTTGTAGCCAGTTGGTCAAGAGTACAGGTAGTCTCTGGGGTCCTGTAAACATTCAGCTGGGGTCTGAAGTGTGACCAGTTTTGTGGGACTTGTGCTCTTAACCCATGGACAGTGATCTAACTCTGAAAGTGGAAATCAGAATTGCATTGCAATTCTGTGATTGCAATGAGTGATTGATACCTCTTTCATATTTGCCATTACTTAGAGTTTTTTGCATTTTGGATTTTGGCCTTTTAGGGGGCAACATAAACAAACGTCTATCTGAATTCTATTTGTGTCCTGCAGAGTTTACTGTGAGGCCTATAATTCAGTAAGCTTGGTCAGGGAGGCTAAACTGGTTGGTGGAAAGGACTGTAAAGTGGGGATTTTGATGGTGACTTTTGAAGATTCCAAAATAAGACAAGGAGGATGAACATGAATTGGCATGTGAAACACAAAAGCTTCTCTTAGATTTTTTTTCTGCCTATGGAAGTGTAAACGTTCTACAGTGTTAGTGACAACTAGATACCATTTGCCATAAATAGAAGGAATCATAAATGTAAATATATAGCCATTAAAATTTAAAATATCCATCTCAGGTGTTCAGAGTCCTCATTTGTATAATAAGGGGATGGGGGCACATTTTTTCTTTAGTCTCTTTTAGCAGCAATATTCAGTGTGTGTGTGTGTGTGTGTGTGTGTTTCCAGTTCCAGATGCTATACCGTATTCTTTTATAATTTGAGAATATTTAAAGAATTGTTCCTATCTTTCTTTACCTGGAAAACAAAGCCGGTGCCTACTGCAGAAGTATAAACGTGGCACAGAGGAAGGCAGGAAAACTATAGAGGGTAGTGAGATAAGGTGTGCTCATGGGATCATGGTCAGAGGCCTGTCCAAAGCACAGTCCACCTGGGTGCACGGGAGATAGTGGGTACTACAAGCTTTATAGGCATACTAGGGAAATACTAGAAATCCAGGCAGATGTGTCTGCACTTGATGTGAGTGGAAACAGGAAAATTCTGAAATGGATAAGGACCCTGTTGAAAGGGAGATTAACCTCCAGGTGCTGCTAAATATGGACCACAGGGAGAATGCTATCAGAGGGTTCAGGGCCTACTATCTCCTAGGAGGTAGTTGCTAGGGTAAAAGGTTGTGAAAAGCAGGGCAATTGGCAGTGAACTGGCAAAGAATGCTAAGGAATGGGTCAGAGACAGCAGATTATTAAACTCAGGGACTGCACCCAATGTGGTATTTCTGATATTCAAGAGAACTGCAAGGGGGAAATTTTTAAAAGAAACACAAGTCCAGTTTTGACGTGACAAGGAACAGTTCAAGTGAAAATGTTAACAGGCTCTGGGAATCTGAGGTTGGATATGAGCTGAGTGAACTGATGTGAGGCCTAGGGCTTAGAGAGGGAAGAGGAGGCCTCGGAAACCACTGAGCCCTCAGAGGGAGGCAGCGTCTTAACAAGGCAGGGATAGGCCTGGTGGTGGACATGTCTGGGGGCCCAGCAGATGACAAAAGGAGTGATAGGCGATGTCAGAAATACCAGAAATGGCTGGGAGAAGTCTTATCTAAGATTGTTCAGAAAAGGGACAATTTCAAGACCATAGAGAGAAAGATCAATAGTGTCAAACTCAGAAGCAAGACTAGGGGGACAACAGATGGAAAAAAAAGACCACAGAACTTGGCAATAATAAAATCAATGACATCACCTGAGGCCACATTTTTTTTTGGTACCGGGTATCGATCTCAGGAGAGGCCACATTTTGATAAATTTTGTAAGTGTGAAAGGGAGATCCTTATTTAAGAATACCATTAAAAGTTAGATTGTCTTAAAGATACTAACTCTGGTTACATTTGAAATGCCAATTATATTTTAAGAAGGCTGTGGAAAGAATGGAGAGAGAAATTTGCTTTCTTAATTTAATACTTCTTTTCTAATTCTGTAAATTTATCATAGACCTATGTTGCTCAATATTGAACTAGAGTGGGAGGAAATAACAATTTCTCAGCCCTAGTTTTCCTTAAAGACAAAATTCTGACAAAATATATCTATATACAAAGCAAATATGAAAAACAGCAAACTACAGGGGTGTTTGTTTTCATGCCAGGCACATATCCTAAGTACTTTGCTCCTTTAATTTATAAAGTCTGATTGCTTTGCACGTATGACCTGAGTGTGCATGTGTGTACGCACATGTATAATCATATATACTTATCACAACTGCCTGAAGTGGGTATCAGTGTTATAACCACCATTTGAGATATGACGATTCTGGGGAACAGAGGTGAAATATCTTGCTCAAGGTTGGTTGCAGAGCTGCTTCAGGACAGAGTCAGAACACAAACCCAGGCAATCCAGCCACACAGCTGTTGCTCTTTACCACTGTGCCACAGGAGGTACTCTTTCTTAGTCTGAACTTGCTAGAGGCCATTTCAGATTCTTGGCTATCTGCAATACACTTTAACTTCTGAAGCACTTTGTTTACATATAATTTATAACTTCATGCCAACTCAGGGCTATTCTTAGCCAAAGAGTTATAATGAATTATAGATACAGAGAACAACCTATCAGGTAAACTGGAGATAACAGCAAAGTATTATATACAAAGTCACATTCCTGAACAAAAGCATTTACTTTGGTGTGCTAATAATAGCTAACAATTATGAAGTAATTATTATGTACCAAGCATTCCAGCCAGTGGTTTAAACTCACTACTTCACTTAATCTCCAAAACAAACCTATACAATTGTAAAAGTCTCATTTTACAAAGGAAGTTCTGAGACTAAGAAATTTGTGACTTAAAGGCAAAAAAGCCAGTGGTGAAATCAAGATCTGACTTGAGGCAATCTGCTTTCAGAGCATACATACTTACCCAGAACATGCACTAGCTGTGAAACTATAAAATAAGAAATAAATCACCCTTCATCAATACAGAATAACTTCTATGTATATTTACAGAGCAAGAATATAGTCTTATTTTGCATCTTAATATAAATGTTTGTGCCTTAATAAACTCTGAACTATGTATTTGACTTTTTAAAAAGCCAGTTAAAAACAAAAAAGGCCAAAATGCTATATTTGTCTATTCTGTCCCCAACCTTTAAAAAACTGTTTACTCAACCACATATTCCAGATAGTCATAAAATATTACTGCAGACACTAGCACCTCTCTGGAATTAACTGTTGCTCAAAGTGTTGGTCCACAGATGAGTATCACTGGCATCATCCAGGAGCTCTTGAGAAACACAAATTCTCAGGTTCTAATCTAGACCTACTGAAACTCTGGGGACGGGGTTCAGCACCACACATTCTAGTAAGCTCCACAGGCAATTCTGATGCACCTTAAAATTGGGAACTACTGACCATTTGCACTTTTTTCCCCCATACCGGGGATTGAATCAGGATCTTGTGCTTGTGAGGCAGGTGTGGTGCCACTGAACTAAATCCCCAGCCGCACTTTCTACTATCCTGTTTCTTATTCTCATCTTTTCTGGTTCTCCACCTCCTTGCTTTGTCTTTGTACTTCACATCTGGTTTTCATCTTCCCTCCTTGACTAGTGAGTGACCTGTATTGGACACACTTAAACTATCCATGACTTTGGAGACTCCTCTATGACATAGTTTCTGGTACACAGTGACTTAGGGTAAAGACTACCTATCTCTGACCTTGACACTAAGCA